ACCTTTGAATGAGAGGCGAACACCTTAACCTCTAGGCCTCGAGAGCCCCCCGTGCGCGTGTGATAAGCAAGTATGCGTGTGTGCGCGCGCGCGCGCACGTGTGTGTGTGTGTGTGTGTGTGTGTGTGTGTGTGTGTGTGTGTGTGTGTGTGGCGTACATGTGTGTGCACAAGTGTGCGTGTTATGTGTTCGTGAGTGTGTATGTGTACGTGTGTGTTTGCGTGTGTGTATGTGTGTGTGTGTATGAGTGTGTGTATTTTTGTGTTTGTGTCGCGTGCGTGAATATTGTTCGTACATGTATTTTTATGTAAAGCGCCTAGAGCTGTGTTGACACGGGAGTGGGCGCTATAGAAATGATCTTCATTATTATTATTATTATTATTATTATTATTATTATTATTATTATTATTATTGTAAATCGACATCCATTTTGACAAGACACGACACAGCCAGATAAGCAGATCTCTACTCGCACAACGAAAAACTACACAGGCCTCGTCTCTTCAAAATCACACTCTATTGGCACAGTAAAGCCGAGCTATCTAGATCTAGATTCTAGATGTAAGAAAAAAATTAAAATTAATTACACCACAACACAGCTGGTATTCATGAAGCATAATATTTTGGGGAAAAAAACCACAAATTTTCTTTAATATTGCTTAAAATGCAATTCTGGTCGGTGTCCACCTTATTTTGACGATGCTGATTTCAAAAATGTAATTAGTTTTTGTCTACCGTGAAGCACCAGCTCTGAAATGACCATTTAAAATTGTCCCCAGTCCAGTCGGGTGACGTCACACAAACCGCTGAACCCGAGTTGGCTACGGCGAGACGGCGAGACGGCATTGGGAGTTCGCGACCTCGGTGCTTTCTTGTCGTACCTCAATTTTTAATAACAGTGAAAACAGTTCATAACAAAATGTGAGTTAAAAAAGAAGTCTCATTTTCACTGTTAAAAAATGGAAATACGACAATAAAGCACTGCGGTGGTGAGTTGACAGCGAGACGCCCTTCCCAGTTTTTCGGCGTAATAAGAATGTAGTTTGGATTCCGATAAAGCCGACAACTCCGATCCGAGTTTAAAGCCGCCTGCAGTCGGCCAGCTCTATGTGGGGCAAGTTGGAAATCATAAGCGAATTTTTATACCTATCGGCGCTTACTGAGTCAGTCTCCGAAATCGGCGTTCTCTATGTTTTCGCCCAATAGAACGGCGTAGGGACTAGGCCTATATGTATTTCATTATAAAAAGAAACAGTACTTGGAGCCCCTTTCGTGCTCTGAGACTTGTCTGAGATAAATGCCAAATGCTTCACATAATTAAATCGACATATTTATGCGAACAACTAGTTTTTCCCATAAAATTATGGAATAAAATTATATAATTCATTAACCCTGAAGAAAACGTTGAGCTCTGTCATTCGTTATTCTTACAACGGTGACGTACCATTATCCAAAGGGAGGCACATGATTTTCAAGTGAAATCGGGTTTTCCTATTTTCTAAAATTATAATAGCAGACGGGGGCACGCGCGGGTGTGTGTGTGTGTGTGTGTGTGTG